TGTGTGTGTGTGTGTGTGAGTGAGTGTGTGTGTGTGCGTGTGTGTGTGAGTGAGTGTGCGTGTGAGTGTGTGTGAGTGTGCTAGAGAGCCGGATCACACAGAGGATGTTACACAACAGCGGCGTGACACAGAAACCTCCTCCAGGCGTTACCTGATATAGTCACCAGCACATTGAGTCCCTCCCTCCAGCACATCTGCTGGAAGCGTCTGCGGCTGATGAGAGAGTAAACTTTACCCTGACCACTGCGATCCAGCAGCCACAGGCCGCTCTCGGTGCCCACCAGCAGATTCACTCCTACACACACATACACACACACACACACACACAGACACACACACAGAGCACACACACACACACAGAGCACACACACACACACACACAGAGCACACACACAGACACGCAGAGCACACACACACACACACAGACACACAGCACACATGCACACACACACACACACAGACACACACACACACACACACTTTTATTAAGCCCCTCCCTCAGAAATAGGCGATGGGCTCTGATTGGTTAGCTGGCCCAGTGTGTTGTGATTGGCTAAACCGCCTCTAGTGCGCGTCTAAACGTCCCACCCCTCACCTCAGCGGTATGTGCTCCGGTTGTATTGTAAACAATGGCATTGTCTATATTGCTTACGCAGAGAGTATTAGTGAAGAGGATCGCACATAACCTGTGCAAGCAGCACACGGCTCTTAATGGTATGTTTTTTGTTTGTTGTTTTCTCATACTTTTAGATACGCTGTTATTTGTAAATGCTACAGCTTATGTTAGCTTTTAAAGGTGACATATCATGAAAATCTGACTTTTCCAGGTTTTAAGTGCTATAATCAGGTCCCCGGTGCATCTACCTACCAAGGAAACGTGAAAAAGATTAACCTAGTAACTTTGTTTTGGGAAGCCTTTTTCTGCGTCTGAGAAAACGAGTGAGTCTGATTTCACTCCCTTGGTGACGTGGCAAAGGAATCTCATTATAATATTACTGCCCCTTAATCTGTAAGTTTACACCCACGGCGCCATCATTGTGTTTTCGCAAGCGACAACGGTGTAGCAGCTCTGCCATGACGAAAGTTTGAGCAAAACATGCTAACTGTTCTGTCTTTGGCTGCACAGACGAGCACAGAACACTATTTAGAGTCCCAGCCTCAGAGGAGACAACAGAGCAGTGGATTTATTGATTTATTTACTGTATATTGCTGCTGCCACACAGATCTAAAATAAACATGTGATTTATTTCCCAGCTGTTTACCTTCACAGACATAACCGAATGTTTTTGTAACCCATGCGTGTTTTTAAAGTAAAGAGCAGGGGGACGCGAGGAACAAGCTGCTTTAGAACATTGATTGTGAAACTTGTGAATCCATTAGAATCGTTAGAAGACAGAATCACGATTCATATATGAATATATTTTTTCATGCACGCACCCCTAATTTTGACGGCATGGCAACGGCTCTTCCTCTTCTCTAAAGCAGCGCAACATGGCCTCTCCCTATTTGTTGCATGTTTCCGGGGGCGGGGTTTATGTAAATTTCTGGGTTTATGTCATGTCACAAACCCGGGAAGTAGCTTGTTGTAGTCCCTACGAGTCATTTTTGTAGGCATTAAACTGCCATAATTAAAAAAAAACGATATCTCCGTTTGCATTGAACTTTCAGCTTCGTAACTTTGCAGATATTGTTTATGCTCAAACAGCAACATTACACACTAACTAAAGTTAAAAAAGTGAAATCGCAATCAACCACCCCTTCAAACAAAAGAAAAACACAGAAAAGAAACAGCATGTTTAGAAAATCATTACTGTGCTAAAACCAAGTACTTTTTATCTGGAAATTAACCAGACAACAGATTAATGTAATAATAAAGCTGCACCAAGGAGAACAAGAAGAAATGTAACTTTAATCTCTGATTATTTTGCTCTGTAATTTTATATAAACGGCTGATAAAATACACATCAAATCAGCTGTGTTCTGTAATAATGAAACAGTGTGCATTTGATTACAGTCTTTTCCCCAGTTCTACAGTGGCTGTAATGCAGATATCAGAACAGGGATGTGCAGTTTGATTTCTTGTATTGTTGTACACTTGGTTTACACAAGTGGTCTTTATTAACATCAGTAGTGTTCTGTGGTGATGTGTGAATGTGTCTCACCCCACAGACTGGCACAGAGGATTTCAGTGTTGAACTTCTTCTTATATTTGCGTATCTCCGGGGCGTCACTCTGAGGACGGATGTTGGTGGGGTTGACGTTCACCACCGAGCCCTTCCTGTGAGGCTGCCTGACACACGGCTCATCCCTGCTGTTCACTGACACACACACAGAGAGAGAGAGAGAGTGTCTGTTCATGTGTCAGATGCAGGTGTCACTCATTGGTATATGTGGCTTACAGGGACTTCCCAAAAGCACAATGGTATTTCTACTGTACCAACTGTGTTTTCTATCCCCTGAATCTAACCCCACACCCAAACCAACCCCTCTTTTTTAGATTTTTAGATTCTCAAAACACTTCATTCTGTGCAATTTATTAGCTTGTTTCCTCATGGGGACCAAAAAATGTCAAGGATTTTGGATTTTGCCATCTTTGTGGGGACATGTCCCATATCACTCACACACACACACACACACACACACTCACTCACTCTCTCTCACACACACACACACAGAGTGTGTTGTTCATGTCTCAGGTGTGTGTGTGTGTCAGGCGTGGGACTCACGCTGGATGTATCCCTGTGGACTCTGAGGTGGAGAGATCTGCAGCAAACGAGGGTCAATGAAAGGGGAGAATGAGGAAGAGGAAGATGATGTGCCTTTTCCTGCCTGGCTACTGAATAATTTCTGTAAATGCAGAATAACAACACAAACATCATGAGGAGATCATTCACAGATGCAGTTCTACATGTTAATCCAAGTACAGTTTGATTAAGTCAATGACCGATGAGAATATTTATGCATCTATGTGCAAATAACACAATTAAACAGTAAACATGAGCTCACTGAAACTATTAGGATAACTTATCTAAAACATTATAAGCTTTACATTACAGTCTGTACATACACAGAGAACTAGATTACTTTATTAAGCTTATATTAAAATGATAACTGGCTTAAAATAGTCTCACATCAGTCTAAAATGCCCTACAAAAGACATTGGGCCAGATTTACTAACAGCTTTCACCAGCACAAACCCTATTCTGCCATTAAAAACTACTGTCAGGAGTTACTAAAGATGCACAGTGATAAATCAGCGCTGAAAAGGCATGGGCGGTTATTTTTGACCTTATTGCATATGCATTTGTACGAGTTTCCCTTTCAGACACAATATTTATGTGAGGAGAGTATTTCAATCAGGTTTATACCATTTGCACCATTATTCAGAAGTACTGTACAAGTGTGTGTGTGTGTGTGTGCATGATTAAACAGAAACAGCTGATCAAACACTGCAGTGATCTGAGGCTGTACCTCGAGGACGCTCTGCTGGTGCGAGGGGCTCTTGTGCAGCAGGTCGGGCAGAAAGCAGCCGTAGCTGGACGGAGATCCTGCAGGCCTCGGATGGACGTTATGTGCTGGCTCTGCTGCACTCTGCTGGAGAAACACCAACATCTGAGATCAGGCCTGAAACTGAACTGACTGCATGGGTTAGATGAGAAATACTATCAATATCCAGAGGTGAAAGAGAGCTGCCATACTCTTGAACTGGCGTAAAAGACATATTGTCTTAATGATCACTAATACAATTCATGCAAAGATGGAGAAATTGAAATGGATCAAACTTATCCTTAAAACGTCATAAATATCTGTAAAATTAGTAAATTAGCCAATTTTGTTTGAATGAAGGATTGCTGAAATGAGTACACTGCAAAAAATGCTTTTCTTACTTAAGATTTTTTGTCTTGTTTCCAGCCAAAATATCTAAACATTCTTAAATCAAGAAGGATTTTCTAGACAAGTAAACATTATTGTCTTGTTTTCAGAAAAAACGTCAAAATTAAGTAAGTTTTTTTTTGCTTGAAACAAGCTAAATAATCTTGTTTTCTGTTTGAAATAAGATTATTTTGCTTACCCCATTGGCCGATTATTTTGCTTGTTCTAAGCAAAAATTCATTTAAATTTGATGTGTTTTTTCTGAAAACAATACAATAATTTTTACTTGTCTAGATAATCCTTCTTGATTTAAAAATATTTAGATATTTTGGCTGGAAACAAGACAAAAAAATCTAAGTAAGAAAAGCATTTTTTGCTGTGTACACCCTATGTTCAATTCAACAAATGTATAATATTCTAGTACTTCGTATGTCCTCCATAATTTTGAGTATACTGCTCTGACCCTTCTTGGCAAATATTCCCATCTGTGCTGTTTAACTCCTGGAGGACGAGCTCTTAAACCCCCTGATCTCTACTGAAAAGTGTCGCTCAACTCGTCTCTACAGAATCCACCGCAGGTGCTCAAGAGTGTTCAGACTGGGTGAAATACTTGTGCACCGGAGGATTCACACCTTGGGAGAATGTATATGCTAGATTAAAGTGATTATGTTTTGAATATGGATATTTTTCTTACAAAAACGCATCGATTCGCTACAGGAGGCCTTTGTACACCCCCCGGAGCCGTGTGAGACACTTTTTATTATGGATGAGCGCTTTTTATTTAACTTCTTTTGGACTGATTCATGCAACGCCCGCTGAGTGGCATTAAACAGCTTGAAAGATCAAAGACCATTTTTAATATAACTCTGACTGGATTCGTCTGAAAGAAGAAAGTCATATACACCTAGGATGCCTTGAGGGTGAGTAATTTATGGACTAATTTTCATTTTTGGGTGAACTTACCCTTTAAGTCTGAGAATGATTCAGTGGGCTAAATAACACTGTTAATTGTCAAGAAATGACTTCTCTTTAAATGTTTTGGTTCAACACACTCACCTGTTGATCAGAAATTGCCTTAAACTTACACCAGAATATTTTTATTTAGTAACTTTCAGGAGGGTGTACTCATTTCTGCAACATAACGTTTTATAACTTCGATAAGAGAGCCTTATTTTTCTGAATAATTTTGACTTGCTTCTTTGGTAAGTGATCAGGCAGACGTGCTGGAGCATTATATCTCTGAAGAATCCTAACATGTGTTCTGAGTAAAGAGTAATTGCTGAGTTTGTGAGGTTTCAGGGCTGTACTCATCTGATCATGAGTTATTTCAGTTCGCTCTCTAAACAACAGACTGAAGCAGCCTTCACCTGCTGCTGTTTATCGCTGTGATGAAGCTGAAGAATGATCTCATCAGACCGTCCTCTGGAAAACAGCGGCCTGCCACTGCTCAACGGAGACCTGGAACAACAACAGTCGGATCGGTTTTAATGACGCCACTCGCTCAGACGGACGACACTGCAATGACTGGAGTACGACACAGCATGCATGTTACACACATGTCCAGTAATAACATGAGCAGATGATGGCAGGAGGTTTAAAAATAGCATGTAAAATGCTGGAATACTACCTTAAAGAAGCCAGTATGTACTGTATGGAAAAAGTGTTTAACTCTTTATCCGCCAAACACTGAATTTTACGCATCTCCTGAATGAGTCTAGAAAGTGCCGATCAAAAACACAGGCGAGGAAGACGCAGAAACGAGCGATCTGTGTTGATAAAAAAGAATGCTTGAATAAAACAGTTTTTTTGTTTAGAAGTAGAGGCTCTGTTCTTTATGTTGATGCACTGCATGTTCAGATATTCATACAACTAAATATTCTGGAGGCCATGAAATTTTAGTGAAAATCATCAAAAAAGCTGGCGGGGAAAGAGTTAATAGGCTACTCTATCAAAAGAGTAAACGACTACAAGCCAAATATCCTTAGAATATTCAACTGTACAAATTTACTTTGACTTGTGTTTATTTGTCAGTATGAGCAAGTATAGTTCGGTATATTTGTAATTATAACTGATAAGTACATGAAACTAAAAGTAGTGCAAACTGTCACATGAGCAGAGCAGTTTAATTACAGTTTGAACCATGAGAAGATGATGCTGCTTCAAAGCTCCAAAACGAAAGGCTAGTAAAGTATGTTAACATAAAGATATGACAAAGATTTTTAGTCCACATTATCTTTTAAGGTGTCTAGTATTAATATATGATTATATAATAACAATATAAAATGTTGCAATGACAAAATATTGCACTAAATTTAAAGTTCAAATGTTACAAATAAGTTACAATATTGATGTTGTAATACAGGTAGCACTAATATAAAAATGTGATGATATATTTTACAATAAAGTAACAAGTTTGAAATATGTTGATGGTTGTATTTTTTGTCTTTTATGTCAGTATTCCTATCAGTGTTGTATAAGGTATTTTTATGCATAATAGTAACTCTAGAATGTGATCACACAGTTTACAATAGCTGGGCTAAGATATATAACAATTTTTAAGACTGCGGAAATATGTTAATTCAGTATACACATTAATTGTGACCGACCATAAAACACAATTTTTCACACACTTTTCCAAAACATTTTCAAAAAAATAATTATTGATTATTTCAAAGGGTTACTAATGACACATCATTTGGATACTTTCATGTTTGGGAAAAATTTGGGATTAAACAGGTTAACAGTGGGCCTGCTAAAAAAAACAGGTATATTGTAAATTAGCACTTCATTAACCGCATGCAATCATTAACCATGTGTGTGATTGTTTTGAAACTGGACAACTTTAAGAGCAGAGGAACACATGGCGGAGAGATTACCTAGTCCTCTCTTCATCTTCATCACTGGAGGAAGAATATTCAGCAAGCTTCATTAATGGGCTGAAGGGAGACTTCATTCCCAAACCCTGAAAGAGGAAAACAGTCTGATATTAAAGACCAGCAGTCTGTCAGTCTTCTATATCTGATACTGAAAATAAACCCAAGGGGAAAGAGATCCACAGCACAGAGTGACTGTGTGAGTGTGAGTGTGTGTGTGTGTGTGTGTGTGAGAGTGTATGTGTGTGTGTGTGTGTGTGTGTGAGAGTGAGAGAGAGAGTGTGTGTGTGTGTGTGTGTGTGTGAGAGTGAGAGAGAGAGTGTGTGTGTGTGTGTGTGTGTGTGAGAGTGAGAGAGAGAGTGTGTGTGTGTGTGTGTGTGTGTGAGAGTGAGAGAGAGAGTGTGTGTGTGTGTGTGTGTGTGTGAGAGTGAGAGAGAGAGTGTGTGTGTGTGTGTGTGTGTGTGAGAGTGAGAGAGAGAGTGTGTGTGTGTGTGTGTGTGTGTGAGAGTGAGAGAGAGAGTGTGTGTGTGTGTGTGTGTGTGTGAGAGTGAGAGAGAGAGTGTGTGTGTGTGTGTGTGTGTGTGAGAGTGAGAGAGAGAGTGTGTGTGTGTGTGTGTGTGTGTGAGAGTGAGAGAGAGAGTGTGTGTGTGTGTGTGTGTGTGTGAGAGTGAGAGAGAGAGTGTGTGTGTGTGTGTGTGTGTGTGAGAGTGAGAGAGAGAGTGTGTGTGTGTGTGTGTGTGTGTGAGAGTGAGAGAGAGAGTGTGTGTGTGTGTGTGTGTGTGTGAGAGTGAGAGAGAGAGTGTGTGTGTGTGTGTGTGTGTGTGAGAGTGAGAGAGAGAGTGTGTGTGTGTGTGTGTGTGTGTGTGTGATCACAGATAAAGATCGACAGCACAGAAAGCGCAGGTGAGATCAGATCCACACCTGGTTGTGTGGCGAGGCTTGAGCGCTTCTGTCCAGCATACAGTAACCTGCAGGAACGAGAGCATCAGCACGAGAGCAGACAGAGACACAGGGCTGATTCTGAGTCAGAGAGCAGAGCAGACCTGACTGAGAGCTGCTGCTGGAGCTGCAGGACATCCTCACACCATCACCACTGAACACATGAAGAAGAGTCAGGAACACAGCAGCTGCAGGATCTCAGAGGAACAGCGTTCAGCTTACCTGGATACACATCTGTGCTGACTCCACACATCTTTGAGCTTTGACGCGGTTCGCTCTGGAATCTTGAGACAACGTTTGTAAAAATCAAGGGATTATCATTCATTCCTGTTCCATCTTTTACAGGTGTGTTTATTTGTGAGGCGTTTGCTCAGAGTGACTGAAGCTGACTCTTTTTTTTCTCCAGTACTCTACACTGAATGCCTTTAAACTACGTTCTGGGTTTCCGTGGCATTCTCACTTTTATTTTTGTGTGCTAACCGTATATATATCTGCTGTGAATGCATGTCACACTAAAGGAAGCAAGGAAGGCTCCTCCTTTGGGGAGAGGACGTGTTTCGACCGCAGCTTTAGCAGTCACCAGCTATACAAGTGTTTCTGACACCGCAAAACGCTTATGATTTAGTGTCAGCTCAGACTTCTCATATTTCTCTGAATACTATAATATGAACAAACACTGTAATGCACAGTAGCTGTGTTTCCATCCAAACTTGCAAATTTAACTTGGAACATCGCATAAAACGTGCGAATTAAGCATTGTTTCCAAAGAGGACAACCTCGTCACTTCCTGGCACTAAATATCACTAAGAAAAATAGGAGAAGCCACTGAATGAGTGACTTTTTTAATGCGCATTGAGGATTTTATTCGGTAAATGTGTTTCCTTCGTAGTTTATGCACATTTTTTCTTATCGGATAAAAAGTGCGCATGTGTGTTATGAGCATTTTTAGAATTAATGTTTCAGTTTTTTTTATGCAATATTCCATCATGCTGTCTGTCTGGAGCAGTGGTGACCAACCTTCGGCGGCTGCTCGTCAGAGCTGAAGAAGACTTCATCAAGAGGAGCGGAGGAGACGTCTGTCATGGAGCTGCTGTGATGAAGCTCTCGACTGGGACACACGCTCACGTTCTGAAACACACACAGCTTTCACTATGCTAACCGTGCTGCTCTGTTTCATTATCCAGACACTGCAGCTGGATTTGAAAAAACTGAAAAAGTGATAGAAAGCAAATCTAGCTGGAGATGTGAGCGTGCTCGTACCGGCGGTTTGGCCGCTCTCTGCAGCGCTGGAGTACACGGACTGGAGCTGCTCCCTGATCCCAGACGAGACTGAACATGAGGAATTCTCACCGCCATACTGTTCAGATTCACAAGATGAGCCTCCAGCGACTCCAGTTTACCTGCCAGCTGAAGGCCAGAGTTTCACATCATCATCATCATCATCATCATCATCAGAGTGCATCATAGGAAAGGCTGTGTTTTACCCCGTCTCGAGGACTCCTCTGCTGGAGCGCAGGGTCGTGCTGCGACTGATCTCTGGGAAGAGTGCGCTGCTGGACATCAGCATGACATTAGCACAACAAACCCTGACCGGGACCGGCTGCTCAAATACATGCACATCAAACACTGAGCTCAAACGTATGCTGTTAAACTGTTCACTGCTCAAGAAGATTTTTACCTGCTCAGCAAAAAGACTTACAGCCGCTGATTGAGGATCAGTCCTGTGCTGTTCACCGTCTCTGGGCTGAAATACAGAGACAGAGAGCAGATCATTACAGCAGAGAAACAGCGGTGCTGTGTGAGTGTGTGTGACTGTGTGTGTGTGTGTGTGTGTGTGTGTGTGTGTGTGTGCGAGTGTGTCTGTGTGTGTGTGTGTGCGAGTGTGACTGTGTGTGACTGTGTGTGTGTCTGTGTGTTTGTGTGTGTATGTGTGTGTGTCTGTGGTTGTGACTGTGTGTGTGTGTCCTCTGCCAGTTTCCCGTTAATCAAACCTAAGATCAGGAGGGTATGGTGGCTCGATTTTTATATTAGTTCCTGTTTTCCGTAAAAATTATAATGGATAATTTGGAGGATTTTTTAGCTGCTCCTACAGAGGAAACACTAGAGGGTCTCACAAAAGATCAGCTGCGTAATGCGAGTGAGCAGTTTGGTATTGAATCGGCTTTACCTAAATCAGCTAAGTTAAGACAACTTCGTAAAGCTGTTAAAGAAAAATTAGTGGAAAGGATGGTTTTGACTTTGGATACACAATCTGATGTGGAGGAAGGGGTACCAAAAGGAGCTTCAACTCCGCTTATGACAGAGGATTTATCTGCTAATGCGAAGAGCGCAGAAGAAATCCAGAGTTTTGTTAGTGGTTTCTTTATACAGGATGGGATGTTGGTTCGTAAATGGACCTCATGTAGTGATAAAGCGGTGGGTGAACCTTTGTTTCAAATTGGTTTGCGTGATGTAGTACTACAGACTGTTCATGGTGATATTTCAGGACATTTTGGAGTCCGAAAGGCTTATGACAGAGTGTTGGGTCACTGTTTTTGGCTGCGTCTTAAGAAAGATATATCTAAGTTTATTCTGACCTGTCATATCTGTCAAGTAACCGGCGAACCTAATCAGGTTATTCCGCCTGCTCCTTTATATCCCATTCCTGCAGTGAGTAACCCTTTTGAACACATCGTTATCGGTTGTGTGGGGCCATTGAATCCTTCTAAATCGTTTTGGAATTTTTGGTAGTTTGGATCAGAGACCGAGTAGTCCCTGTCTTGAGGGGGGAGGTGTTACGACCCGGGGTAGCACCTGTTCCCTAAACGGGATCTGTTCGCCTCTAGGTGGCGTTCTGGTGTGAGTGTGTTCTTTTCTGTTTGCAGGGTGGAGACAAGCGGCAGGTGCGGTGGATTACGTATGATGAGTTGACTGATAAAAGGATCTGTCCTCCGGTGTGGTGGCCTCGTGGGAGCTTGACTTCTCTCCAGCACCAGACTTTGAGCTTTCTTTTGTTATTTGATCTTTTGTTGTTTTCTTTTCTTTTCCCTTTTGGGGTTTATTATAGTTGAAATTACGTTAATAAATGTTTATTTTGAGTTAACCTCTTTGTGCGTGGCCTCCCCATTTAATGTTGCGCTGCCTTGAGCCTGGTAGTTTGTAACATTTGTATCCGGTACTCATGTCGTGATTCAGGTTAATTCGTGAATGTCTCTTCTTAAGGCAGTGAGAACTGCTGTGAGAATGTGACTTGACTTGGCCTTGACTGTTGTACATGAATTACAGTAAGCACACGCATTCACACATGCAGACATAAGAAATGTAGAACAAATAATGCGACTGTTCAGCAAGAAGTCATTATAAATATTCAGACTTTTCCAAGGGACAAGTGAATTCCTAACTCTGACCTGTTTCTTGTGATTTCTTCTGGTTTTCTCGGTAAGGTCAGTCTCTTCCTGCCACATCATCTCCTGGAGCTCTGGCCACTGGAGTCCGGTCTCGTGTATCAGCTGTTCCTGCTGCTTTACACACACACAAACACACAACGCTTCGTCTGCACTGCTGTACTCACTGCAGAATAACAGTAAAGCCACTCAAACACAGTGAACCAAAGTCTCTGTTTCAGCTTCTTCTCATGTCTAGATTCCAGCTTTCATCTACCAACTAAACTCATCCCGGGATGCTGTTTAAACGGCATTAACCCCATGCATTCTGGACACTTGTTGGCTGATTTTCCTTCACCGTTTTAACTCATCCAATTCATAAATGAAAATGACAGTTTTGTAAAGAGATTCACAGCTCAGATTTGTCTTCAGAAGTCATTTCAAGCGCAAGCTTTTGAGAAACACATTCACTCAAGAGTGCTCAAATGTTGGACTGCTAGTGTGCACATTTAAAAGACTGACATGAGCAGTTCACATTCTAGTCAAACATGCTACGACCGACTGGACATCCAGCAGTCACTGAAGATCCATAGCACACGGACACTGAACACAATGACACAAGGACTGATCCGTACGTCTTCGAGGCGGCGGCGCTCCTCCTGCTGCTGCTGGATCCTCTTGTGTCTGTCGGCCAGCAGCTGTCTCTTGTAGTTGTCCTGGCTGTGTGTTTGCTGGAGCAGGTGTGTTTGTGTGTTTGTCTCCTGCTGCAGACGCAGGAACTCCCGTCTCAGCATGGACTCTCCGGGAAGATTGACTATAGAGCTGTGTGAACACAAAGCACGTGGCGTGAGCGACGCCAGACCCAAGACAAGAGCCATCTGCCACACAGAGACACGCTCACGACATCTGCGCATCACTGCAGAGACAGGAGCAAGCAGTTCATGCCCACATAACAATCTGAACTCATTTCGGTCAGTGATGCTTTTCCAGTACAGCACAGGGGTTTAATCAGTGGAGCAGGTGCACTGTGCCACTCTAAAGCTGCTTTGACTCAATCTGTATTGTATAAAGCGCTATACAAATAAAGAGGACTGGACTTGACTGTGCTAGTTAACTCATTAAAATTCATAAATGATCATATCTTGTCTCTACGGTCTGAACTGAGAAAGCACCGGAAGTAATGATGTTTGGACACTAATATGAAGGATTCCTATAGAGATTGGTGTAGTAACACATACCTGGGTTCACCTTCATCTTCATTCATGGCATCTTCTTCATCTTCACTGCCGCTGTATTCATATTCCGTCCCCTCTGTTAACATCGATCATAAACAGAGGCAAAATAAAGCAATGAAGGCGTGGTTTACAGTGAATTTATAACAGCTAAGGGACGTTGTTAGGTACGACGCGAAGCGGAGTTCACTGTAAACCACGGCTTCACGGGGCTTACTGCTTCTATAAAACGGTTATTCCATATGCGTAGTTAGGTTTCACAAAATAAAACAGCAAATAAAGTGTAATGATATTAATAAAAACAGTATTCTTCCACCAAACAATGTAGTTCCTCAGAATCAGTTGTGGTTGCAACAAAGTGGTTGCCGAGCAACACACAAACGTAAACAAAGGTGTATGTTACTTTGTAGAGTAATTTACAACAGCTTAGAATGCGGCTCAGCCAATCAGAATCAAGGATCGGGACTCTCCGTTTTATAATAGGATGCGAGTCACGATGATGGACAAAGTTACCAGTGAGTGAGTGCGATCCATTAAACTGCTTTGAACAATGTCTAAATCACCTTTCTCTCGTCTCCTCTTCCTGGTCCTGTCCAGGTGGTCTTTGAGCGTGATGCGCACCTGCCGCTCATTGGGAAGGTCTTTAATGAAGGAGTGGCGCAGGAGCGTCTCTGTGGACGGCCGGTGGAGGTAGTTCTTCACCAGACAGCCATCCACAAACGTCTGAAACTTCTTAGACCTTCAGGAGCAATAAAGTCACAGGTGAGCATTTTGAGATCGGGATGAGACTCTATGCATGTGGCTGTAATAAACGGCAGGCATCTCACCATTTCTTGGACTTGAGTTTGGGAGGAGGGTTTCGTGGAATGAGGAACAGCGCTCTCATGGGATGCATGTCACACAGGGCTGAGGAGAATACAGCAATCACACACAAGCACTGGGTCATCTGCAACCTGTGTGGAGTTATATGGAGTTTGTAAACTCACGTGGCGCTCCCTCTGCCATCTCTAAAGCGGTGATTCCCAGAGACCACACGTCGCTCTGAAACATGCGGTAAGATCACAGTCACTGATGGGAAGCTGTTCAAGCACTGAGGTGTACTAGTCCTACTCACTCTGTAGTCATACGTGGAGTCAGGGCTGTCGTCGCACGCAATCACCTCCGGCGCCATCCAATACGGCGTCCCGATGAAGGTGTTTCTTCTGCCAATCGTCCTGTCCAACTGAGCACTGACGCCAAAATCCACTGGAAGAACACCGGGAAAAACAATGTCTCCCGCCATATATACACCAGGGGTACTTCTCGTGTTCATGCATATTGTTCTGCGCAACAGATGTGTGTTATTTTGTATGACAGAACTGCTTTAGCTGCTGCTGGGATATGATTAGGTCGGGTGTTTAACACTGGAATACAGTCAAAACTGGCATTACAAGCAAGCACCCCTAGTGAAAAAAAAAATACTAAACTGTAGTTGAAATACATTTATTTTGTGCCAAGTATACTACAAGTACTTTTGCATATTTATGTGCTTAATAAAAATACCCTGCAATTGGTATATTAAACTGGTATACTTAAAGTCTGTATAAACTGGAACAACTAATGTTGTGCTTAATGCTCTTTATTTGTGTGGAAGTAGTGCTGAGGTCCAACTAAAGGCATACTGAAGTATATTTGATTGTGCTAAAGGTACTTCAGCTACACTTTAAATATCCTGCATTGATATTATACAACGATCATACAGACTTATTAATAGTGATTTTAAAACACATTTTAGGCATAACTCTGCATTGTGCAATAAAGAAATATTCCAAATAAAGTTTCAATATAATTTTATATCAGTATGTCTTAAGTGATGTTAATGAGTGATATGGCACAGTTTTTTTTTTTTTACTAGGGACATGTGACAACATTTATGAAAAGTACCACAATGAAATAAAATAAGAAACAATAAGAAAAACGTAACCAAAAACAACCAATCAAATGACGTTTAAGGTGACCCTGCATGGTTTCTCAGTGAGTTAGTGTTTCCCTGCTGATGGGTGGAGCTCTTACCCAGTTTGATCTCAGCGTTCTCCGTCAGCAGCACGTTTTGTCCTTTAATGTCTCGATGAATCACGTGATGAGAGTGCAGGTGTAACAGACCCTGAGAGACCAAACAGAGTTTACACACAACACAAAATAATTTACTCACACATATACACACATATATATGGAATTTCACTTTTTTGTGCTTTTGTCACAAAAGCATTTTTCCCCTTTTTTTTTTTTTGAATTAAAGGGGTCATATGATGCGATTTCAATTTTTCCTTTCTCTTTGGAGTGTTACAAGCTCTTGGTGCATAAAGAAGATCTGTAAAGTTGCAAAGACTAAAGTCTCAAATCCAAAGAGATATTCTTTATCAAAGTTAAGAGTCAGCCACGCCTACCTAAAATGGCTCGTTCTAACACGCCCCCACATACCTACGTCACTATCTGGGAAGATTTGCATAACGCTGCCCAAATGTTCACGCAAAGAAAGAAGGCGTAACTTTTATTCTCGCTGTTGTAGTTTTGTTGTTGCCGCCGCCATGTCGTAAAGACGCTGTGCGCTTCCTTGTGAAAGCGAAACTACTTTGTTTGGTCTTCCAAAAGAGGACGATATCTGCTTCGTCATGCCTGGAGCTGATCCGTGCTGGCCACTGAGGAACTACTACAACTTTGCGCTGTCGATCACCGGATCGCAATCAGAGCACACCTCGCTTTTCAGACCGATGAGCTTTGTAAAAATCGACGCGTTTCAGAAAGGCGGGGCATAGAGGAGAAACAATAATGTACAGTATGTGGAAAATAATTTGTTTTTTGAACCTTAAACCGCATAAACACATTTCATTACACCAAATAATGTTCTTTTTAGCAGCATCCTATGACCCCTTTAAGAAAAGGTCTTAAAAAAGTGAATGGAGAAAAGTTGCTTACTTATGTTGCCATGACAAAAAATGACTGTGAATACGAGGAATTAAACAGCTTTTCAGCTCTAATAACAGAAGAGTTCACAGAGTTCATTTCTCACGCTTGACTGTGAATAAAGCATTTCTACAAGAACTGTCGTTTATTAACATTAGGGTTATTAAATCAGTGAATGAACAAGCTTTATATCTCTGTTAGACCAGATGAAATTCCAGTTTTCAACATGGATGAAATGCATTTGATGATATGCTGAAGAATGAAAAGGATGATATGCAAAAATGCCTTATGGACAAAATAAATTTCATAATCCAAGCAACTCCTTTCATGAATGAAATGCATGTCTCGTTGAGTGATTTCTGTGGATGAGATACATTCTGCGCTGGGAGGTTTCAGTGATCATATGTGCATCTCAGATGTAATAAGAGCTGATGACGCTCCAGGAAATCCCTCATATGGACAAAGCCATCCAGCTGTAGCTGTGACTGAAGAAAAAGTATCTAGAAATGCTTTGAATGATGAAACATGAAGACAATAAACACTCAACTGTGACAATATATAGTTTATCTGTGCTCTTCAAGCCATCTCGGGTATTTTCACAATAATTATGTACATTCATAATCCATTGCTAATCGACATAGCCTTTATTACAGTATGGAATATATTTTCTGCCTCATTCTGTGATAAGAAGCCACATCAGATCAGAAAATGAAGTTATTTCAAACACTCGACTGATGTTGTGGAGTAAAGGCATGTTATAATGTTCTCTTTTGTTGGACAGCAGGTTTAGAAACGCTTCTCATTGCAAGTCATTACAGCAGAAGATGTTCAGCGTGTGTTGCTTTTTCAAATGCACGTTATAAGCGGGAGGCGTTTGCTCATCTCAGCGCATAAACTCACGGATACACACAGACAGAGAGAAATAAAATAGGCCTTACGCAAAGCCACTAGAAGGCAAGCCTGCATCCTTCAGCAAAAAAAAGCGTAACGGCTAATGCTAACGCTTCCGCTGTGGCAGTACGTGTGAAAGAAGACTAGAGGCCCTATTTTTTTAATGGATGTCAATGGAGGAGAGGCTTCACTACGCTGAATAAACAGCTCTTTAGAGGAAACAGCTTATCATTTAATGAATCAACAGCCTATCGGCTAATCTCCAACATGTTTGACACTAAAAATAGTTCCATCCAAAAGTATTGTTTAGAGTTTACACCGAAAAAAATGCCGTTTTATAAGAGAAGTCACTGACTTTTTGCGACAGGTGGGATTCAGCTTACGGCAAGGGTAAAAGCCCCTAGAAGGCAAGCCTGCAACCTTTAGCCAAAAAAGCGTAACGGCTAATGCTAACGCTTCCGCTGTGGCAGTACGTGTGAAAGAAGACTAGAGGCCCTATTTTTTTAATGGATGTCAATGGAGGAGAGGCTTCACTACGCTGAATAAACAGCTCTTTAGAGGAAACAGCTTATCATTTAATGAATCAACAGCCTATCGGCTAATCTCCAACATGTTTGACACTAAAAATAGTTCCATCCAAAAGTATTGTTTAGAGTTTACACCGAAAAAAATGCCGTTTTATAAGAGAAGTCACTGATTTTTTGTGACAGCTGGGATTCAGTTTACGGCACTTCTCATTCATTTCTATGGGATCCGTTAACGGTGATTGAGTGTCGCACAACTCTGACTGAAATTCAGTGACGTCAAGGCTGTAATGTGATTGGTTATTAAGGCACACGTGATCCAAGTTGACGGTTACGCTTTCTCCAGTAGTAAGTAATACTATTAGTGACCAATCATACCAGCGTACTTTGAGGTTAAAATGCGTGCGGGTCTGGTGTAATCGTGTCATTTATTTACTGAACACATGACGAGTTTTACACACACTAGGTAACATCTTTACTGTAACAGGTATATGTACTACACTATAACGGCGTCTCACGTAGGTTTTTTTGGCTTGATTTAGCATTGATCAGCTGTGATTACTCACTCTCAGCACTTCTCTGCAGATGTAGGCGATCCAGTCCTCCTTCAGGCAGTTCCCTTTGGTCTTCTTCAGCAGGTCTGTGACCGAGCCGGCGCCGCAGTACTCCATCACCAGCTGAAGAACAACACGCATTTAACAGCTAAACTAAGTGCCATGATCTCATCTGACAGGACAGCGCTGAGCCTGAGTTCTTTCTTTCACAGCGGGAATATCTGTAAGAACTGCAAAAACATCCTGCATTTAAATATTCTGATAGTGCGACTGACTTTCTCTCACTCTTGATTACAATCTGAATACTGTTCTTCCATAGCACCATACAACTGTAGATAAACCCTTACGAAAATTAACCATGGTTTTACTACAAATAAAACCATGGTTACTATAGTTAAACCACAAATTAACCATGGTTTTGCTACACTGACCATAGTTTAACCATGGTATTTGTAATAAAACTGTGGTTATACAAATGGTAATCAATACACCAAAAAACCATGGTTACTACACTTTTCCTACAGTAAAACCATGGTTAGTTTCCATGCATGCTCCTCAATACCATGGTGAAAATGGAACTAGAGTATATGGCTTCTACAAAAATACGCTACATGTTACTGTGTTTGTTAAGAGTAGCTTCAACACTTTAATATAAATGCAAATGACAAAAATTGACAACAAAAATGACTGTAGCTATATTCCGGTATATCCCAGTTTAATACATGTCTACATTTTTAATATATATAATAGCATTCGATATGAATATCCTATATTATATTATTATAGTGTTACTACAGTAAAGCCATGGTAATCGTGGCACATGTTTCTGCTGCTGTTGAGAATGTCAGCACTGGTTCATCCGCCGTTAAACTCTTTTAAATCCCAGAGACTTTTGGGAATTCTGCACTCCAAACGAGACGGATTACCCCCCAAAACACCCACTCAGTCCCAGTGTACTGGCAAAACCACACCTGAGCAAATGAGGTTTGCTCTGGGGTGCTTGAGCTTTATTAGTGTTCAGCAGATACTCACCCACAGCTGGTCATCCTGGCCCGCAGGACTCTTCTTCACGAAAGCACCGTAATACGTGGCTATGTTCCTGTGATGCGAGTGAGCCTTCAACATGTTAATCTCCAGCTTGATTTCATCCTCCTCCTCCTGCAGAAGTCAAACCACATCCACTAGAATAATGACCATGGCTGTTAGAGCAGGAGCACACAGAGAGTGAGTGAGGGAGAGCATATGAATGCTTTAGAGAGGCCTGAGAGGACAGATAGAACGACAGTATGGAAGGAAATCTGGAGCAGCACTCCGTTATCTCTCAGGACGGGAAGGAGAGGCTCTCCCAATGCTTCATCACCCACTGAAATATAGGGATGACCCCAAACGACTCAAATTCAAGTCATCATTTTACCGAAAACCAAAACCAACACAGAAAATAAAGTTCAACAGTCAACTAATTTAATCGATTTAGTTATCAACACTCAAAAAAAACAAACTGAGCTGAAGATAAGCATTTATTTGCACATAAGGCAGTTTTTTAATGATATAATTGTTTCTACCCCAATTTGTTGTAAACAATTAAACTGAAAAAAGAAATGGTAACATCTAAATTAACTGGATTTAGTCAAGTCCAAAATATATACACTACCGGTCAAAAGTTTGGGATCAGAACGATTTTTAATGTCTTTAAAGGGGACATAACACACTCACCCAATCTCATGTTAATCTTGAGTACCTATAGAGTAGGACTGCATCCTTTATATCTCCAAAAAGTCTTTAGTTTTATCACATTTATAAAAGAAAGATACTACCCTTACAACCAAAAACACACTTCTTTGGAGACATTCTTCCTGAGCGGGTCTCGTGCAGCGCTGCTGAATGAAGCGCGTTGATGGGCGCGATCTCGCTCTCGCTCTGGTCGATGCGTGCGCGGGCGCGCTCTTCCGGGAGAAATTACCATATAAGGAGTTCCACCCTCGTTTACGTCATGAAGAGCCACGATCGAAAAAAACTCTCCGAAACTTGTACGAACCCGGAAGTAAGATTTTTAGCACAGAAATACTCCGTCATACGTCCAAATTGTTTTTTGAAACTTTGTCCATGCTTAGCATGAGAATCCAACTCTTTAACAGTGTAAACAACTCTGAATGCATGAAACAGCAATAATATTTCACAATATTACATTTTTTCCTGTATTTTTGATCAAATAAATGCAGCCTTGATGAGCAGAAGAAACTCCTGTGAACGGCTGCGGTTATTATATTAACTCCAACAGTTGTAAATTATGTTTATGTTTTTCTATTTAAACAACAACCAAACCAGACTTTGGATTGTGACTTTGTGGCATGAATGTTGCGTAAGTGCATTTCTATAGCAACCATTTCTTCAGGATAAATAACCAGTGGCAATCGCAAACAGTTATGCTTAATCAGTCAAGAGAAGCAGAAATCATGATTATATTCAAACACAAGGAATTGTGCAGCATTGCTTTCTGGTCATGTTGTGACTGACAGAGACGAGCATGTCTGTTCAGAGTGTGAATGCATGAAGACATGAACGTGTGTTTCTCTCACTGGTCTCGTACCTCCGTCACATCCATGACCTTGATGGCTGCCAGCTGTCCTGTCTTCACATGTCGACCCTGTCACACACAAGGACACACATTTAATTTGACTACATTTTAAAAGATCATTTACATTGTTTTATGCATTCATTAGATTACCAACATTTGGGAGAGTAACATTGCAATAAATCGTAAAACACAGAATCCAGAAAGAAATAAAACCAACAAAACCGAATATCTGTAGGAAAAAAAAAAATCACAGGGCACTATTATTGTTAAAGGGGTCATATGATGCTGCTAAAAAGAACATTATTTTGTGTATTTGGTGTAATGAAATGTGTTTATGCGGTTTAAGGTTCAAAAAACACATTATTTTCCACATACTGTACATTATTGTTTCTCCTCTATGTTGCAACTTTACAGATCTTCTTTATGCACCAAGAGCTTGTAACACTCCAAAGAGAAAGGAAAAATTGAAATCGCATCATATGACCCCTTTAAAACTTTAATAAACTCATAAATTGTTAAAGTTTACTTTATTAGACATCCTTTTTGATTGTTACAATATAATTCAACTATTAAAATGGAATACAGAAATATTTAAATGGAAAACACAACATTTGAGAGAAATAAGGCAGATTTCATAGGGCACACATTTTACTTGTGTTTTTACTAGGACCAGAAATGAAGCCAGAGAGGACCAGCATGCCTCAGTGCGCTGAGATATGACATCTAATTATGGCTAATGTTTAATCGGTCATCCTCAAACACACAGAGCTTTAAATACGGCACACTTCCTTCAGTGTGTTCAGCTCACACATTCACACGCAGACGCTCCAGCAGAACTGCGTTTGATGCATATTATCACGACGACTGGTGCTTTCAGAAGATCATCATCAGCTGACCGTCTGAATCTCAGATGTGATGTCGTCTGTGTAGTACACATGATGGGCTTACGCTGGCTGGTTCTTGTGCTGGCAGGAAGGAAAGAGAGGCAGTATTTCCCGCAAGAGGACAGATTCTGCCTCATCCTCCCACAACACGAGGCCATAACACTAGCACAGGAATGAACTTTATTACAAAACCAGTGCTGAGACGGCTGAGGAAAGAAGGGGAAATAACAGAGGAGTTTAAATAAGGCTCTAACGATGTTGAAATCAGTATGAGAGGAGAGAGGAAGACTGCGCCCAAGCCCTTCCAGAGCCACGGATGCAGCAAATGCTTTATAAGCCCATTAACAGACGTGATGCCACAGGACTCCATGTGTCCGTCGCCACCGAACGCACAAAGAAGACGAGACTCACATCACTGCAGCTGAAGAACACACACCTCGTACTTCCAGGACTTCGGGGACGCTTCACCCACCGCACTTTGTGCTTATTCTTGAGGGATTTCTCCTATAATATCATATCATAATAGAAGTGCTTCTGACCGGTGAGATGTGAGTGTGTGCGGTCAGAGTGAGAGGGGAAGAGAAACGTGTCCGCTCGAGTGTTTGTCAGGGAAAATCTGCTCTCGGCCACACGCTCCTTTAACACATGAGAAACACTCGACTAGTGAATCTGCCGAAATGGAAGTCAGACGTTTCATCATTTTGCAACATTAACACGGTTATTTGCTTTGAATTAATCTGTACCTCTTTCTTTCTCCGTGGGTCTCTGGAATTGTCAGTCAGCTGTCAACAAAGCATACTTAATTTCTGCTTTTTCTTTACAATCCACACTCAGCATCTTGGGCTTGACTGAGACCTGGATTCGTCCAGAAGACTCAGCAACCCCAACTGCTCTAGCTAACAATTTCTCTTTCTCTCACACCCCCCGTCAGGTTGGCTGGGGTGGGGCACTGGTCTGCTCATTTCTAACAATTGGAAATACTCAACCCACTCTCCCCTATGCAATTATACCTCCTTTGAATATCATGCAATTACTGTAACAGCTCCTATAAAACTCCAGGTTGTGGTAATCTACCGCCCTCCTGGCCAAATTCTAGCCACCTTCCTAGAGGAGCTGGATGGGCTGCTGTCCTCATTCCCGGAGGATGGCAGTCCACTTTTAGTCTTTTGCGACTTCCAACATTCATCTGGACAAGCCTTATGCTACAGACTTCCATTCACTCCTTGCTTCATTTGATCTTAAACGGCTTACCACTACAAGCACTCACAAATCAGGCAACCAACTTGACTTAATTTGCACACGCAATTGTGTTGCGGACAACATTTGGGTAAAACCCCTACACATCTCTGACCATTTTTTCATTACATTTGAACTACATTTTGTTACCTGTGTGCCACCAACCCTTATACCGGTTACTTTTAGACGAAACCTACGCTCCCTTTCACCCTCCCATCTTTCTGTTCCTGCACTGTTCAAAAAGTTAAGAGAACACAGGAAACACCGAGTCAGTTGAACTCCAGGGAGATCAGTCTGTCCAGTTAGGAAACAAAAGTGATTGTGAATCAGTTTCACTTTCAATGAAAGTCACAATAGGTACATTGAAGATGACAAGCGCAAGACAAGGCACCACAGACTGTCCAGGAGCTCAGTGATGGCCTGATCCAGGTCTGGCAGGAGATCCTCCAGATCATCTCATCAGGAGCACGTCTAGATGTTGTCAGGAGTTAATCCAGGCACACGGGGGTCAAACACACCACTGACTTACACTATGAGCTGCTGTGACGAAAGTCATGCAAGTTTGATCAGCCTGTAATTTCAGTTTTTACTTTGAATTTCGGTGTTATTCTGAATCCAGACCTCAGCAGGTTGATGATTTTGGTTACCATTGACCATTGTCACGTCATTATGTTGAAAACAATTTCAACTTGAATATTTTGTTCATGGAGATCCAATGTGTGATTTAAGTGTTCCCTTAAATTGAACAGTGTCTATGATGCTTCCCACTAGGGCTGTCAGAAGTACCGATGCCTGTACTGAAATTTAAAAAATGTGACGACACCAGCATTTCCCGCGAGCATTTTGAGCGGATTCTCAAACAGCTCTGATTGGCCATTGTGTTCACGTGTGTATCTGTGTAATCTGTGATCATTGAGCTGTTTAAGAATCCGCTCAACAGCGCTCGCGGGAAAAGCTGGTATCGTCACATTTTTTAAATTTCAGTACCGACATCTGTACTTCTGACAATGCTACTTCCCACTTAAAGAGACAGTTCATCCAAAAATGTCATGGATGTCTCATGCGGTTTCAAACCTGTATGACATTCTTTCTTCTGCAGAACACAAAAGAAGGTATTTTGAAGAATGAAACCATTTTGGTAACCATCTGTTTGGATGGATGTTTCATGCAGAAGGAGGAAAGTGCCGCAGCATAAATTATGCCTGAATTGACATTTTTGGGTGAACTACCGCTTTAAGAGGCTGATGATCAGACGGGTGGCTCCCCGTTCTTCATGCCGTAACCCGGTTCTCTGGAAATGGGTCACTCAGCACTGGACGACTGAACGCCAGCCATGATGCAACTGACTGGATGAATGAGTGTTTGTGAATCACGGCTCAGACACACATCAGCAGAGGAAGCGGCCTCTTTAACACACATCTACACAAGTGCACAATGACAATCATCCCGCCGCGTGCCACGCTTTAGAAAAGCATTCTGGGTCAACAGCTGTAAGTGTTCATGCACACCGGAGGTGTACACCAAATTAATTCTAGGTGCACTGAGATTTGAGCAGCAGGCTTCAGATGGTATTTCTGTCGGAGGGGATTTCCTCGTGTTCTCCAGGATGCCTGCGAAGCGCCACATTGTATCAAACGACTGGGACATAAACAGGAAGTGCTGTCTAAAAGGGTGACGGCGGGATTATACTCCAGACAAAGCAGTTCTCTGATGAATCCTGTTGAAAAGTTCAGATCTCAGGAGCAAGTGTGGAAAAAAGGAACTTAAAGCTGATTGTTTTTGACTGTGCTCTATCAGTGACTAACTATGACTGAATAGACTGATACTCATGCGAACTCATATTTCACCCATATAGTCTGAGTAGGAGTGCAAGTTCAGTCTCTGACAGTAGGTGGCGCTTACTGCAAGTCCAGCTGTTAGCCCTGCACTTTTAGGCTTAATACAGGGTTGAGATGAAAAGAAAATGCCATCGGAGACTTTTCTGAAGACAGTCTGCTCTTCCTCGGATCTGCACGAATCGGCGTTATTGGAGCGTCTCGGTGTCAGAGCGGTGAATTACGCCACTTTTCGACGAGTTTGCATGCATGATGTCACAAGAGACAAGAAAAGCCGGTCGCAATTTCCGTTTCATGTGGATTTTAAAGATGTGGTAACAGTGAAAGCACACTACACTTGAGGTGCATTGGATCTGTGTTGCCTCATACATGAGGAAACAAACGTGTGCAAGAAACATCTGAATGCAGAACTAGCTCTGCAATTACTACTAATAATCAGAACGGATATTTCACCACTTGGCAAATCAAGAAATCCTGTATTATGCTGCCAAAGCAGATTCCTGGTACTATGGAAGTCAATGGGGACCAACATTCAAAATACTTTCTTTTGTGTTCAACAGAAGAAAGAAACTCATACAGTATGAGTAAATGATGACAGGATTCTCATTTTTGTGTGAGCCGTCCCTTTAATGGATGGGTTTAATCTGTGTATCAGGGATCTCTGTGTCATGCGCAGCATGGATAAAACGATGAGTCTTATATGATGCACTGTTACAGTATAAAATCCTGAAACAGGAATCCTAAGGCTGTCCTAACCTACACTGTGCTGCTTTTACTTGCACAAGATGATCCACATGAGGGTGTCACACATCTCACAGGATGTTTAAAGATCCAATATTGATGTGAAACACGCTCTGACCTTCATGAGGAAGTGAGCTCCACCCAGAGACTGTCAGACACCACAACCACACTTGCAGGTTTCATTAGCAGAACTCCCACAAACTGTTGATGGCACTGCTGCTGGAGAACCAGACCGGCTCTGGAGACACAAAACCAGCGTGTTTCACTAAATAGCATGAGTTTCCAGCACAAACCTTGTAAACCTGTCCATAGGTCCCGTTGCCGACCACCTCGATGAGCTCGAAGATCCCTGCAGGATCCTGAAATAAAGGGTCAGATGAAGACACTGGGGTTTGATGCACACATCTAGACCATCACACATGACTGACAAATAAAGCAAGCGCCTCTAAACGAGTTTCGCGAACTTTAAATGACATTCAGAGCAAAGTTCGTCTCGCTGTAAATCACTGACAGAAACTTCGACCGATCGCTGGCAGTTGAAAAGATACCAAAGCGCTGAAAACAGAGCAGACCGGACTCACCCGTAAAGAGGCGAGGTCGATGTTACTCAGACTCGTTGTGGTGAAGTCTCTCGCCATTTTCCTCAGCTCGTCCACCGGTTTCAGAGTTTCCTAACTGATCATGGCTCGAGGAACAGTATGTCTGCTCATCTTCAGCGCATCTAATGCTACTATAGCGAGGGATCTGAACGACATAACGGAACTCTCTAGAGTTGTTGTTAGTAGGCGTTTCTCACACGGCGGATTAGCCAATCGTGTCGCAGCGCGCTCTCGGCTGATACATATTAATGAGCTCGTGTTCCTGGACGCTCTTGGGAGCAGCCTCTCGATCTAATTAATATTCATGAGCTATTCCTTCGCTTTAGTAGGATTTGGCGTTTCTCGGGACAAACACAGGAAACCCGGAAAACCAGTAAAAAGTGTAAAGCTGCACCTTCCTCTGCCTGCAACAAAACAAAGCTTCCCATCTCTGCTTATCAGAGTTTGCTTCAGCCACAAAGCTGGCCCATGTAAACATTCTGCCACCTTTATGGTCAGTTTCATCACATACAACATTAAAAATAAAAAAAGGCATCTCTCAAGAGTCAATTACTCATATATTTATTTATTTTGTTGGTCTGATGACAATTATTATTTTTGAAAGGTATATTACAAATTATTTATAGGCTAAGCCCACAAACCTGTGAATCAGACAAGCTGCTTGGTTTGTTTGTGAGTATTTGTTAAATAACAGCTCGGATATTCATACTCTTCCACACATGACTGTATCTGAAGAGTAAAAGGGCATAACTAGTCGTGAGTATACAAAATCCAATCACTGATTTTAGTGATCTATCATTCTAGAGGGCAACATTGCATACAAATTCAATAAAATGATAATAAATATCAGTATTGATCAAAAGTGCTTGATCACTGCCAGCACTGAACGCTTTCTCCGTAGTACCAGATACACCATTAAATGTGTCTTTCCATAATGCATGAAAAACATCATCAAAACCGAATTCTGAGGAAGAAAACAGCCAAACGATCAGGAAATAAGGCAAATGATAAGTTGTATCAAATATGTAAATACCTCTTCGACTAGCTACAAACAATACCAATGTGCTTATTAGATTTGAATGGGAATTATTTGCATAAATAGAACCTAATATTCTTTAAAGCTCAGAGTTGATGTGTCTTTACATTATTGTGCTGTAACAACCGAAGTCAGAATGTCAAATAAACCCTTTAAACAATGCAGATGTAGCGTTTGATGTAATAACTGTACATGGCATAATTACCTCAAAATTCAAGTAAGAAAACAATATCAGTAGCTCTTCATATGTCGGAACAAAGTATGAAAACACTAAAGGCTGGAAGAGAGCCAGATAAACCATTATGTATTATTTTAAAATCTTAACAAGATGAACTCATGCAGGTCAAAAGGAAGGAAGGATGAGATCGGCGAAGCTGTGTTTGGCGGAGCCGCTCTACCAGATGTCACTGGAAAGCTCTGGTCCGGACAGCGGCACGAACGGGCTGCTCAAGTGAATGTCTCTCTTGGGTTTGCCGATGTTATTCTGTGTCAGCCGTCCGTTCAGCAGCGTCATGGGCAGACTGCAGTACATGTGCCGGCCGCTGAGCGTGGCGATGGCAGAGCTGGGCAGCTCGTACTCATAGCTGCGGCAGAAGTGGTGCATCTGCAGGTGGCCCGGCTCGTTATAGTCCGGTATCTCCACGTGAGCCGGCGCTAGCGACGCAGAGGTGGCAGTCATAGCCACGGTCGACACGGCCTGCAGGTCGCCGAACAGCCCCTGCTCGCCCGAGTCCAGGACTTGTCGGCGGGACACGCTCTCTTTTCTCTTCGCAGGCATCTCGTAGTGCACCCGCTTCCAGAACTTGGACTGGAGCTGGCTGCTCTTGGGCCCGTACCACTTGATGAGCGACAGCACTCGGATGGTGTGCTTGAGGTCCTCCAGCTCCTGGTAGTTGATGACGCTGCGCAGGTCCGAGCATTCGATCATGATCACCTTGATTTCGCCCATCACCAGCATGCTGTGCAGCCGCGGCTCGAACTGGAAGATGCTCCAGCCACGGCGGGCCACGAACTCAGGGGTCAAGACGATGATGAGACGCCTGCTCTGCTCCACGCTGCGCGCCAGGTCCTCGATGTACGCTAGAGACACAGAGAGAGACGGATGTGACACACCAGCAAACACAGACTCTTCAGAAAGAGTGACAACTATCATCTGCTTTTAGAGCTTTCCGTTGTTTGTGCAAAGCATTGACAGCTAAATATAGGTTGTATCAGTGTTGGGCGTAACGCATTTCAAGGAACGCGAGTTACGTAATCGGATTACTTTTTTCAAGTAACTAGTAAAGTAATGCACTAGTTTTTTTTAATTTACAAGACAATATCTGAGTTACTTTTTCAAATAAGTAACACCAGTTGCTTTGTTTCCTCATGTACTGACTGACGGCTCTCCTGTCCTCATGATGAGAGAATCAGGAGTGAGTGCAGATGCGTTGTGTGCGCTGTGTGAACATGATGTTACTGTAGTTCTAGACTAAATGAGAACATGCATTTACTCATCTCACCTGCACAAAAACACATTCAGTATTCCTCAAAATGAGTAAAAACAGGGAAATGCAAACTCAGAATATGACGCAAACCTGCAATAATTAAATATGTTAAATAACACAAATATCCTTTATGTATTTAATCACATTTTATTAACCATGTCTTTGCTGCTGCTGACCTTTGATGATCCAATTCAACCTTACGAATAAGCAAAAATGACCTTAGATAAACATTTGTGTTTCATTTATTTATTTATTTTTTTTATTCCTTAAGAGTGTTGGACTTTCTTCTCCTGCATTCTAATCTGTCTGAGACTCGTTCATTTCACTTTTGGTGTGAAAGGGATTTTACATTTGCCAAAAATATAACTCTTTTGTATTGAAAACAAACAAGCAAGCCCAGCCCAGATGAGAAAAAGTAATGCAAACGTAATGTAATGCATTACTTTTCATAAAAAGTAACTAACGCAATTTGTTACTTTTTTAGGGAAGTAACACAATATTGTAATGCACTGCTTTTAAAAGTAACTTTCCCCAACACTGGGGAACCATACATATGTAGGGGTTCGTTCTGCTCCATTTGTGCCACAGACATGCATGAAGAAACTTCATATACATCCAGTTGAAGTTTTCTACAAGATCTAACCTTAGAATTATGTCTGATGGACAAAGAAACAAGCAAAACAATACCATGGAGAGGTGGGTGATAGACAGCTGGTTAGCAATGTGTTAAAAACACCTTACTGCATAGAAATGCTTCATCAAGAACACTCAAGAAACAGACTATCATAGCACCTTAGCAACACCTCAGCAGCTGTATCTCACACACACACAGCCTGACAACCACACTCCAGCACTGTGCATACAGTACATGCAGCTCTGGAAAAAGTTAAGAAAGCACTCTAAATGTTTCTTAAATCAGCATCTCTTCATGTATGGCAGCCATTCCATTCTGATTAGGTGATCACCCCAACCAAATCTGATTTAAGGAGGAAAAGTGTCAAATCCACTGCTGTGCTTATCACTATCCTCTTGCAACAGGACCAGCGGGAGATGGAGGGTCACAAGCCATCAAACAAAGCCGAGCTGCTTGAGTTTTGCTCCAGGAGTGGCATAAAGTCACTCAACATCAATGTGAAGACCGGTGGACAGCATGACAGACGCATGAAAGATCAGGGTGATTCCACCAAATATTGAAGTTAAAAGATTAGTATTGTGTTTAAAAAATGAATGTGAACTTGTTTTCTTGGCATTATTTGAGGTCTGAGAACACTGCATCTTTTTTGTTATGTTGACCAAATAAATGCTCTAAATGACTATATGTTTATTTGGGAATTGGGAGGAATGCTGTCAGTAGTTTATAGAATAAAACAAAAATGTTAGTTTTACTCAAACACATACCTATAAATAGTGAAACCAGAGCAACTGATAATTTTGTAGTGGTCTCTTTAACTTTTTCCAGAGCTGTACAATATTTTGGGTGTCAAGTCTGTATTGTTGCTTTTTGAGTTTTGCATTCATATTTAATGCGTAAGGGATGGAGGATCCTGGATGCTGTTACATAATGCAGGAAGCATGGTTTACCCCAGCTGATCAAATTAAGAAGCAATAATGAACAGAACGTGTGCTAATGTTCATATATCGCACAGCTCTCTGGAGTATTTGATTCTTAATGCTCAAATATTTCTGAACAATAAGCATCGGCCAGGTCAATATAACTGACGGATCCTCTGGGAATCCAGGTTTCCTGCATAGCTGTGCTTTGTGGTCTCTACAGGTGAGCTTGTTAAAAAATAAATAAATACATCAGTAAATAAAGGATTCAGCTGGAGTCAGTAGTTGTGAGGGAGTGACGGTGGAGCCTGGTGACGCTGTGACAAGTAGTTCATTTTCATGTATTTATTTACAGCATTTGACAGGGAGCTGTGTAATAACCATGAAAGAATCCTCAGCAGGGTGATGCTTTATATTCGCTTTGTGATAACTGCACATTATGCTGCTTATTATTTTCTGCAATGTGCTTCCAGTCCTGAGGCCTGTGCTATGAAACAGGTTTTAATGGCTACAGCCATCACTACTTAGGAACATATGCTACAGAGTGAAAGAGAAAACCTAATATAGAAAGTGATTACTTACTCAGAGTAACCGCAGTGAGATGTTTACAGAACGCAAGCAAACCTCTGCACTCACATTGTGGTTATCTTCACCGCCATCATTCACATACACATTTCCATGTTTTCAGTCATCAATGTACTGCATTACATTCATGTCGTGCAACGTTGTCCACATGTTTCTTCAGCAGCCAAAAGCGTGAAGCCTTCTTTAATGGCATGTTTACAAATGTATGCATCACTGCAGGAGCGTCACACGTCATCCATGATCATCACAAGCACACGCGCTCTTTGGTCAGAGTGGAATAGGTGCAATTAAAGTGTTTACATGCTTGTTTATCAAGATTAAAATCATTATACGCCACATATTTTACTACAACTGTGCTTTAGGAATTCAATTGCATCGACATATTGCTTGGTCGACATGTTTAGTTTACATGAGGTAAAGTTTAATCGCAGTCCTGAAGCTTCTGTGGCTGTTAAATGTGTCTCAACTCTTCATATTGTTTATAGCAATCCTTCGTCATCATCTGAGAAGTGCATCGCTCACAGGAAGTGAATGGCACTGTCTCTTCCTGTTTCACATGACTCTCTGTTTGCTGCAGATGTCACACGTCTCTGTGCATGTGATTGTGGACTAAGCACACACTCAGGATCTGCCATGAGTTGATAAAAAATGTGTAATGCGTGCAGTGGTACTTATCGAGCTGGGTTGGATTTGCTGGGTTTTGTCAAAGCAACATTTTGATGTTTGGTACAGGCCATTGGTCAGCCTATCGGTGAGTATTTTGGGATTAAATTATCCCTCACACATCTTTCCAGCACTCGAGAATTGATTATATGATGAATGTAGAGCTGCAGTTACAAAGCAGAAACACATTCCTTATCCTATGACTCCGGCAGCATCGGACGTGTGCCGGTTAAATTCACATTCATGAACTGAGAGGGAGTTGCTTCTTTGATTCACATTAAAAATGGCAGCGGCTATTTACACTAAGTGCAAATTACGATACATTCTATTACACTATATAAAAATAGCAGAATTTTCTTTGCAAAAAGTGTAAATAGTAGATGCCATCCTATACACCAGGGGTGTCCAAACAGGTCCTGGAGGGCCGGTGTCCTGCAGAGTTCAGCTCCAGCTCACCTCAACACACCTGCCTGGAAGTGTCTAGTATGCCTAGTAAGAGCTTGATTAGATGTTAAGGTGTGTTTAATTGGGGTTGGAGCCGAACTCTGCAGGACAGTGGACCTCCAGGACTGAGCTTAGACACTCCTGCTATACACTCACAACAATTTATACCTAAAAAATGTCTAAATCCTTAGGCTCGGGCTGTGCAAAGTAATTAAAGGTTCTCTCTTGCACGGCACCTTCCCTTCCCTTTTCAGTTTCTTCATTTTCCTTGATATCTGGTTTTCTCACTTCTGTTTATGTGTGTACTTTTATTATGATTATTATTTTGGCTATTTTTCTTGTACCTGTCACTTCTTCACCAGCAGGTCTACTGTTATGAACGGAACTGTCTCCACCTTGTTGCAAAACAGCCACCTGATTGTAATTTGTTTGCACAAAATCTAAATTTATTTTAGTTAAAGGGGTCATACGATGCGATTTCAAGTTTCAAGTTATGCAAATTTGCATAACACGCCCAAATGTTCACGCAAAGAAAGAAGGCGTAACTTTTATTCTCGCTGTAGTATTGTTGCTGCCGCCGTCATGTTGTGAAGACGCTGTGTGTTTCGTTGTGAAAGCTTTGTTTGGTCTTCCAAAAGAGGACACGACTACAAATCAGTGGTTAAGTTGTATTTACAACACTGTTCCAGAACACTTCAACCCAAATATTCAGATGTGTGCAGCACATTTTATGGAGGAAAGTTTCCTTGAACCTGCTAAGGAGCGTAACATTTCCGTCACACGCTTGAGGTATTCGGCCAATCACAACGCACTGGATAGCTGGCCAATCAGAGCACACCTCGCTTTTCAGACCGATGAGCTTTGTAAAAATCGACGCGTTTCAGAAAGGCGGGGCATACAGGAGAAACAATAATGTACAGTATGTGGAAAATAATGTGTTTTTTTAACCTTAAACCGCATAAACACATTTCATTACACCAAATACACAAAATAATGTTCTTTTTTAGCAACATCATATGACCCCTTTAAATTCAAAGTATTACATTAGGGCAATGTGTTTTAATTTAATTTAATTTAATTTAATTTAATTTAATGCGACAGATATGCAGTGCAATTTATTTTTGAATGTCAAACTCGGCCTACTGAAGAGTCATACCAACTTATGGAAAATGGGCATCCAATGTCCCCTTTAAGGGGTGTCTTCTATAATGTAAATAGCCTCTGCTAACAAGACGGGCTATTTGCACTCTGATTAAAAATACACTTACACATCATGAACACTGAGCACTCAAAACAAGCTTCTACTGCTGTTTGTTTTGCTCCATGTGAGCATGTGAATGTCAGGTGTTGTTCTTACTGCTGCTGGGAATGAGGTCCCGGTGCGGGATGAAGAGTTTATATCCGTAGTGTTTCTCCAGAACGTCAGGTAAGATCTCCAGAGCAAACAGCTCCTCCTCGCTCATCTCACGCTCCACCGACTCAAAGTCCACTTTGGTGTAAGACAGGTAGGCGTCATATTCCTTGTTGTCTGTAGGGAACAGATATGTTGTATTGCACAGGTTAATCCTTTCAACATATTATACATTATACATGAATTATTATTGTCATAAAATGTCAGTCTCTGAATGTCATAAAACATGTTCAGCCAATCAAGACTGATGTGTTTCCACACG